AGAGAGAGAGAGAGAGAGAGAGAGAGAGAGAGAGAGAGAGAGAGAGAGAGAGAGAATCTTCTCCTTTTTTTTCTATTTTTAGATATATATTTTTTTCACATATGCACGAATCTTACCGGTTTCTTTATATTTTTTGGCCACTCACGTTTTTTTCCCCATAATTATTTTCGTTCAGTTGCCCTACCCCAGGCTGTGATGGCAGCGGACACATCACGGGAAATTATGCTTCTCATCGCAGGTTAGTTCACCTTACCTACCCTTACTCTTTTCGGATTGTGACCGTCTCTTTAAAGCAAAAAATAAAATAAAATCTTTTCTTTAAGAAAAAAAAAATAAAAAAAGTGTGCATACTTTGGTTCTGTTCCAGGGCTGGGCAACTACGGGAACTTTATGACCGGTGGACTTCAACTCCCAGAATTCCTCAGCCAGCCAGCCAGCTGGCTGGCTGGCTGAGGAATTCTGGGAGTTGAAGTCCGCCAGTTATAACGTGGCTCCAATTGCTCAGCCCTGTCTATTCCCTCTTCCCCTTGCTTTGATTTTCCCAACTTTTTTTTTTTTTTTTTTTTTAGCTTACCCAAATATTCCATCTCTTCTTTTTCAGTCTGTCTGGTTGTCCTCTTGCTGACAAGAGTCTCAGAAACCTCATGGCTGCCCACTCTGCTGACCTCAAGTATGTTTGCGCTAAACTCAGATCTCTCGTTTCTTTTTCCCTATCCTTCCCCGCTTCTTATTCTTTGCTTGCAATTTCCCTTTAAAACCGAAATCTGCCTGGGAGCTGACTGACTTTACCTACCAAGCACCGAATAGTCCTTGACTTGCAACCATTAGTTTCGCAGCCAAAGTTACAACCGCAGAGGAAAAAGTGACCGTTTTTCACACTTACGACCGTTACGATCACATGATCAAAATTCGGACGCTTGCCAACTGGCATGTACTTATGACGGTTGCAGTGTCCCGGGGATGTGTGTGTGTGTGTCATGTGATCCCCTTTTGCAAAATGTCTGATAAGCAATGTCAAATGGGGAAGCCAGATTCACTTAACATCTGTGTTTCTTACTTAACAACCGCAGTGATTCATTTAGCGACTGTGGCAAGGAAGAGGGTAAAATGGGGCAAAACTCACTGAATTCACTTAGCAATGGAAATTTTGTGGTCGTAAGTCAAAGACTATTTGTACTGGATTGGGAAGGGACACAGAGTTTGGATGACAGTAGGAAAAATTGCCTGAAATTGTTTATACATTCACACTGATTTATATATATATACATATATATATTTGAATCTCAGGCAGATTTTGATTGGCCATCTAATCAAAGAGACACGGAGTTTGGATGACAGTAGGAAAAATTGCCCAAATTGTTTATAAATTCACACTGATTTATATATATATATTTGAATCTCAGGCAGATTTTGATTGGGCATTCTTGACTAATGCAACTTATTTTTCCCCCCAAATCTCTTAATGGTTTTCTAGTAAACAATGCAATATTAGCAGTCCGTCTTCTGTCTAATAGCCCTGGTTTTGTTAGCAGAGTTGACAACTCATGGACCACAAACTACAAAGACAGCAAAATGCTTGGTCCGCACTAGAAAAAGTATCCAAGGTTTTTCAAAAAACAGTCTCTAACTTCTCCCTCAGTGACCCTCGAGAATTTCAATCAGTTCTTTCTGCAGATGACGGCATCGTTTTTCTTCTTCAATTAAACCTCGATTAATTAAGTCTTCTTGACGCATCACTGCATTCAAAGTCACTACAAGTAATCCACAACTTAGGATCAAAATTGAACCCGGAATTATTGTCGTAAGTCGTGGCAGCCGCTAAGCAAGTCACGATGACTGCAACCGATTTTACAATTCTTTTTTTGCGGTGGTTCTTAAAGGAACACCACGGTCACTAAGAGAATGCCGCGCTTGTTACACGGACCCATTACACCCTGTAAGTGGGGTTTTTTTTGACAGAAACAGGAAGTGAACACCAGTTTCCTGCAAAAAAAATATGTCACAAATCATGCGACCACGGGATCCAAACAGCCATAACAGCAGGGCAGTAGCCAAGTGCCCAGTCACGCTGACCATGGGTGGGCAGCCATTGAAACTTGGAAACCACGTTGTAAGTAGCTCCGAGGAGGTCTGTGGTAGCTTCGATCAGCCGTTAAGTAGCCAGTCGTAAGTCGGGAACTACCTGTATTCAGTAGGATCAGAATAATGGCAAGACTTCATAGGTATATTTGAATGGAATTGTATTTGCAGAAGGAATGGGAATCAGAGAAAAAAAGCACACAACGCTATGCAGGTTTTGAGGTTTTGCTTGATAAAAAATACAGGAAAGCAGAAGTTGCCTTCGAGCTTTAAGTTTTTATTCAGCTGAACAAAGATGGGCTTCTCTAAAGGGAGGAAAAAGGCCCAAATATCAGAAAAGCCTTATTTTTATACTTTCTTTGATTACATAAGCAATTCACCCACCAAAGCTGGCACACATACAGTAGTGGCCAAAATTGTGGAAACCATTTGGGAAAAGTGTACAGTAGAAATGCCACCTTTGGTTAAGCTTCCACCCATTTTTCTTCTAATTTCTTTATAACTGTAGCCTTGTCTACTTAATAATACTATTTGACATCGTTTTCTGGGCAACTAGTCAACTCGTGGCACAATGACTTTAATTTTATTACGTTTTACAAGCTCACTCAATGAAAGAACACAAAAAAACCCAATCAGCTTGATAGCCATCACACAACACACTGACAAATGTCCTCCTCTCAGGTTCAATACATGAAGTCAATAACTGAATCCTACTGTGATCTGATTGGCTCATGGCCAAAACAAGATGACACCCGATTGGCTCTCTAAACACTCACGCTCATTGGCTACAATCGGATGAAGGAAAGCTACCTGAGATCCACCTGAGCAAGTTGTGCTTCCTTTTTCTGGTTATTTGGCTATAACGTTTCATAGAATAGACATAATTGAACAAACTTTGTTGCATTACATTCTTGATTAAATTATCTTTCCATTGATATATAATTTTATGGTACTACTCCCAAAAAAAGAGGTGTTATTAGCCATCAAACCTCAAAAATACATTTTCCCCAAAAGGTTTCCACAATTTTGGCCACTACTGTATCTGGAAGTTGAGTCACGGCAACTGGGCAACTGGGCTATATATCTTTTTCTCAATATATCTTTTTCTCAAAGGTGGTCAGCTGATAGATAATGTTGGTGTTTATTTTCCACCCATTTTTACGATCCAGGAATTGCCAACGACGGACAAACCATCATAGAGCAAACAACAGCTTAATCAAGGAAACACTAGTACAGGGGTAGTTAACCTTGGCCCTTTTATGACTCGTGGACTTCAACTCCCAGAATTCCTGAGCCAGCCATGCTGAGAAGAAAGGGAGAGGTTTCCAAGCTGAGCCATGCTGGCTCATGAATTCTGGGAGTTGAAGTCCACGAGTCATAAAAGCCGAGATTGCCTACCCCTGCGTCTATAAAAGCTAAGGGCGAACCCTACTCCCTTCTAGCACTGATGATGTTACCTAGTTGGGTAATTGGACTTCTTTGCTTATTGGTTGTGAAACATTTAGTTGCTTATTCAAGTAGCTTCTTCAGTCTACAGGTAGTCCTTGGCTTACAACCATTCGTTTGGTGACCGTTGGAAGTTACGACAGCATTGAAAAAGTGATTTATGACCATTTTTCACAATGACAACTGTTGCAGCATCCCCATGGTCACATGATCATATGAAATGGTATAGGGCAGGGGTTTTCAAACTTCGCCCTTTGATGACTTGCAGGCTTCAACTCCCAGAATTCCTCAGCCAGTCACGCTGGCTGAGGAATTCTGGGAGTTGAAGTCCACAAGTCATCAAAGGGTCAAGTTTGAAGACCCCTAGTCTACGGGTCTCCTGCTTGAGCACGGGTTGGACTAGAAGACCTCCAAGGTCCCTTCCAGCTCTATTCTGATTGATTGATTGATTGATTGATTGATTGATTGGTTGGTTGGTTGGTTGGTTGGTTGGTTGGTTGGTTGGTTGGTTGATCGATCAAAATTCAGACGCTTGGCAACTGACTCTTATTTATGACGGTTGCAGTGTCCTGGGTCACAGTGATCTCCTTTGGCGACCTCCTGACAAGCAAAGTCAATGGGGAAGCCAGATTCACTTAACAACCATGTTATTAACTTAACAAACTGCAATGATTCACTTAACAACTGTGGCAAGACAGGTTGTAAAATGGGACAAAACTCACTGAACCAATGTCTCGCTTCCCTATGGAAATTTTGGGCACAGTTAAGGTCATAAGTCGAGGACTTCCTATATTACCCAGCGACTTGGATAAGCAGTAAAACACTTCAAACCAACAAGAGCAAAAGCCCAGTTGCCGTGACTCAACTTCCAGATACAGTAGTGGCCAAAATTGTGGAAACCTTTTGGGGAAAATGTATTTTTGAGGTTTGATGGCTAATAACACCTCTTTTTTTGGGAGTAGTACCATAAAATTATATATCAATGGAAAGATAATTTAATCAAGAATGTAATGCAACAAAGTTTGTTCAATTATCGGTACTGTATTCTATGAAAATTTATAGCCAAATAACCAGAAAAAGGAAGCAAAATTTGCTTAGGTGGATCTCAGGTAGCTTTCCTTCATCTGATTGTAGCCAATGAGCATGAGTGTTTAGAGAGCCAATCGGGTGTCATCTTGTTTGGGCCATGAGCCAATCGGATCACAGTAGGATTCAGTTATTGATGTCCTGTATTGAACCTGAGAGGAGGACATTTGTCAGTGTGTTGTGTGATGGCTATCAAGCTGGTTGGGTTTTTTGTGTTCTTTCATTGAGTGAGCTTGTAAAACATAATAAAATTAAAGTAATGGTGCAAAGAGTTGACTGGTCGCCCAGAAAGCGATGTAAAATAGTATTATTAAGTGAACGAGGCTACAGTTATAAAGAAATTAGAAGAAAAAATGGTGGAAACTTAACCAAAGGTGGCATTTCTACTGTACACTTTTCCAAAAGGTTTCCACAGTTTTGGCCACCACTGTATCTCTACCGGGATGACTGAGAGTCTTCATCAACTACTTTTGTCATCGTACGTCTGGAAGAAAACAACCCCGAGCTCAGAGAGCACCAGGAGCACCACAAATTGAACGTTGTGCATAGGAGTTTTGATCAACTCATGCTGTGTCATGAATCGCAAACATTTTTCCTAAGATCTGTTCCTTCCTGCAATTGCCAATCACCAAGGGTTGATTAATCAAGCTGAGAGATAGAGAAGGTCGCCTGTTCTTGGGGTGACCTATGAATTGACTGAATCAAGATCTTCCTTCATGGGGAGAATGGAACACATCAACTTGCTACAGTTCATTTAGTGACTGTTCAAAGGTACAACGGCACTGAAAGAAGTGACCCGTGACCATTTTCCACACTTAACGACCGTCGCAGCGTCCCCAGGGTCACGTGATCAAAATTCAGACGCTTGGCCACTGGACTCATATTGATGACGGTGGCCATGTCCCCTTTTGCGACCTTCTGACAAGCCGTGGGGAAGCCGGATTCACTTAACAACCACGTTTCTACCTTAACCACTGCAACGGTTCACTTTACAACGGCGGCAAGAAAGGTCGTAAAATGGGGCAAAACTCACTCAGCAAACATCTCGCTTAGCAACAGAAATGTTGGGCTCAGTTGCGGTCGTAAGTCGAGGACTACCTGCAACTCGATCCAGAAGCTGTCGGGTATCTTCATAAGGTGCTAATTACACTAGCAAAGTTGTGAATTATTGTTATAAGGAGTTCCGAGAGAATTGTTCAAAGATTTTTCAACATGAAAGGAGGTGAAATTTATTTCCATATGCTTATGGAAAACGCTAAGTCGTTGTGTGGAAATTATAATTTTGCCTTCGGGATGCCTGTCCCTTTTAATCACGCACTCTCCTCTCTGACCCTGAATGAGTTTTTGCCACCCTTGGGAAGTGGTAACTATGTGTCTTGCAATTCCAGGGAATATATTTCCACATTGTTAGCACGATGTGCTATCCCTAAAAAAAAATAGGAGTCTACAGGTAGTCCTCGACTTGCAACAGTTCATTTAGCGGCCATTCAAAGTTGCAACGCCATTGAAAAATGTGCCTTGTGACCGTTTTTCACACTTAGGACGATTGCAGCATCTCTATGGTCACGTGATCAAAATCCGGATGCTTGGCAACTGACTTGTATTTATGACAGTTGCGGCATCCCGGAGTCACGTGATCCCCTTTTGTGACCACCTGGCAAGCAAAGCCAATGGAGGGAAGCCGGGTTCACTTAACAATCGTGTTACTAACTTAACCACCGCAGGGAGTCACTTAACAACTGTGGCAAGAAAGGTCGTAAAATGGGCCAAAATTGACAAACATCTCAGAAATTTTGGGGTCAACTGTGGTCGTAACTCAGGGACGACCGTTATTAATCCATTGAGAAGTCATAAAAATTTCTCCTCCCCCCAGTTCCCCCCCAAGCCAGAAAAAAGGAAATTAAATAAATCACTGACAGCTTCTTCAGCCCATTCAGGCTTTTCAAAGCACAGATTTATCTGCATTTTTCTGATAGTTGGCAAAAATGAATAAATAAACTATAACATATAATGGGAAATTAAGGCGAACAGTCGATTGTAGATAGTCCTCAATTTACAACCCACAACTGGGAGTAGGATTTCTGTGGTTATGCAAGCTGTGACCAATTTTATGACTTATTTACCATGTTTGTTAAAGGAATCAATGCAGTTGATAAATGAATCACATGCTCGTTAAGCAAGTCTGGTTTCCCTCATTGACTTTGCTTGCTAGAAGCTGGCTGGCAAGTATTATTATTATTATTATTATTATTAAATAATAATAATAATAATAATAATAATAATAATAATAATAATAATAAAAGTTGGAAGGGACCTTAGAGGTCTTCTAGTCCAACCCCCTGCTCAGGCAGGAAACCCTAAACCAGGCATGTCAAACTCGCAACGTCATGTGACGTATTGGGACTTTTTCCCCATTGCCGGCATCCGGCCTGTGGGCTGGCAGTTTGACATGCCTGCCCTAAACCATTTCAGACAAATGGCTGTCCAATCTCTTCTTAAAAACTTCCAGTACAGGAGCATTCACCGCTTCTGGAGGCAGGTTGTTCCACTGGTTAATTGTTCTCACTGTCAGGAAATTTCTCCTCAGTTCCAGGTTGCTTTTCTCCGTGATGAGTTTCCATCCGTTGCTTCTTGTCCTGCCTTCAGGCGCTTTGGAGAATTGGTTGACTCCCTCTTCTTTGGGGCAGCCCCTCAAATACTGGAAAACAGCTATCGTGTCCCCCCTCGTCCTTCTCTTCATTAAACTAGACATACCCAATTCCGTTTCTTATATGTTTTAGCCTCCAGATACATGGCAGTCATGTGACCCCAGCATACTGCAGCCATTTTAAAAACATGTTGGTTGGCAAACGGCCAGATTTTGATCATGTGACTGTGGGATGCTGCAGTGGTCGTAAGTGCAAGGACCAGTCATAAGTCACCTTTTTCAGTTCCATCGTAACCTTGAACAGTCACTAAATGAAGGACTGTAAGTTGAGGACTACCTGTATAAAAAATTATAACACATATAATCGTGGATAAGCCTATCTGCAGATAAGCTGACCCTCGAAATTTCAACCAAAATCTCATGAAAAGTGCATTACTGATCCTCAGACTGTTACGACTCACAACTTGTAATGGGCAATCTTGTTGCAGCTATAAGTTGGGGACTTACCTCTAGGTTGTTATAAAGGAGAGCTCAATAGCAGAATTTATAATTGCAGGAACTGGTGAGCTCAAGCACAAACTGGTCCACCAGTGATTGGAAATAATATAGACATGGTCCTTGTTTAGTGACTCCTGGGACCTGGCAACGCAGTCAATAGGCAAAGCGGTCACTAAACGAAACTACAGCCGTGCTTCTGATCTGGCTTCCGCTTGGCTTTGCTTTACAGACCTGCAAACGTCGTAAGAGTGAGGATTGGTCATAAAGGGATTGATGTAACTGAAGGGTTCCCGTACAAGGCAGTCACTAAATGAGGACTACCTATTTGAATTCCTGAAGAGAATAAGGTTGAATGTGTTGGTTTAGGCCAGGGGTCTTCAAACTTGGCCCTTTTATGACTTGTAGACTTCAACTCCCAGAATTCCTCAGCCAAAGTACCTGGCTGAGGAATTCTGGGATTTGAAGTCCACAAGTCATAAAAGAGCCGAGTTTGAAGACCCCTGGTTTAGACACTCTCTTTCAAGTCTAAGATTATCTGAATGTGGGGAAACTGTTTGAATCTTCATTCCAGCACAGATTTTTGTTCTCGTCTTAAATCCTGCTTCAGATCTCCCATTCAATAGTAATAAATTTGATAGGACCACCCATCCCCTCAGTTTTATGGTTTCTTTCTCTTTTCTGTGCTCCCAGAATCATAGGAGCCAACATGTCTTCAATGACAAATGACAGTGATAAGAGAGAGGGGAAAAAAACAACACACTGCTGAAACAAGTTATGGCCTGGGTTTGCCTTACTTTGATGTGTAAAAAGAAGGGAAGCCGATTTACAATCATGTTTATGTTGATCTGGAATTTTCTTCATTGAAATTTACCTACAGTAAAAAAAGAATCCTGAGATGATGATGATAATTTTTTCTTCTTCTTCTTCTTCTTCTTCTTCTTCTTCTTCTTCTTCTTCTTCTTCTTCTTCTTCTTCTTCTTCTTCTTCTTCTTCTTCTTCTTCTTCTTCTTCTTCTTCTTCTTCTTCTTCTTCTTCTTCTTCTTCTTCTTCTTCTTCTTCTTCTTCTTCTTCTTCTTCTTCTTCTCCTTCTCCTTCTCCTTCTCCTTCNCTTCTTCTTCTTCTTCTTCTTCTTCTTCTTCTTCTTCTTCTTCTTCTTCTTCTTCTTCTTCTTCTTCTTCTTCTCCCTCTTTCTTTCTTTCTTCCTCCTCTATCCTTCCCCTCTCCTTCCTCCCTCCCTCCCTCTCCTCCTCCTTCTTCCTCTCAGGTGCCCAACTCCTGGCTGTGATGGGTCCGGTCATATAACAGGAAATTATGCATCACATAGGAGGTAAGTTGAAAATGTGTGTACAAAAATGGGACCAATGGCAGACAGAGAAAAGGGGAATTGCTGTATTGGGGAAACTCATAAGCCCAGGCCTCTTTTGAAGGAGGTCAAAAAAAGTCAAGATGGTGGCTACAACTACACAATCCAATGCCTGATCATGGCCACCATCTTGATTTTTTCCCTCCATCCTATCCTACTTATTTATGCATTTATTTAAAACTGATTTATTTAGCCAGCCATCTCACTAATCTGACTCAGAGTATCTAACAAAGGCTTAAAAGCACAAGATTTTAAAAAAAGGACGTTTTATCCATTCAAACAGAAAATGGATACCACAGAAACCTTACACAGGCAGGGTGGGCTCACTTACTCCCCCGATCACCATAACAGGGAAATATTCAAGGCTTTCAAAAGGTGAGCAGAGTCAGGGCTAATCTGAGCACTAGTGGGAATTATTTTTTTAAGGGTGGTGCAGATACAGGCAGTCCTCGAGTTATAACCACAATGGAGCCCAATCATTAAAGTCCTAAGTAATGACAGTCATAAATTGGGCCACCCTGTGACAGACCCGATCTTACAACATTTTTTGCAGTGGTCATGAAGCAAATGCTGTGGTCTCAGCTGAACCAATGGCTGAGAAAGCCTCACTGGTGTTCAGTTCAGTTAACAACAAAGTTGGAAGGGACCTTGGAGGTCTTCTAGTCCAACCCCCTGCTCAAGCAGGAGTCCCTGTACCATTTCAAACAAGTGACTGTCCAGTCTCTTCTTAAAAACCTCAAGTGTTGTTGCATTCTGAACGGAAGCTGTTCCACTGGTTAATTATCCTCACTGTTAGGAAGTTTCTCCTTAATTCCAGGTTGCTTCTCTCCTTGGTTAGTTTCGTTGTTTCCTGAATTGCCTTCTGGTGCTTTGGAAAATAAGTTGACCCCCTCTTCTTTGCGGCAGCCCTTCAAATACTAAAATACTGCTATCATGTCCCTCAGTCCTTCTTTTCTCTAGACTGGCCATTCCCAAATCCTGCAACTGTTCTTCATATGTTTTAGTCTCCAGGCCTTTAACTGTCTTAGTTGCTCTTCTTTGCACTTTTTCCAAAGTCTCAAACATCTTTTTTTGTAATGTGGTGACCAAAACTGGATGCAGTATTCCAGATGTGGCCTTACTAAGGATTAATAAAGCAGTACTAATACTTCATGTGATTTTGATTCTATGCATTTTAGACAAAGAGTTGTCTGATCTCTTCTTAAAAATCTCCAGGGATGGTGCATCCACAACTTCTGAAGGCAATGTTCAATGTTTATTTATATTGTGACAATCAAAACTGGATGAGTATTCCAAGTCTGGTCTTACCAAGGCATTATAACGTGGTACTAACACTTCACATGATCTTGATTCTACCTCTCTGTTAATGCAGCCTTTGAGATATTGAAACACTGCTATCATGTCCCCCCTCATCCTTCTCTTCGTTAAACTAGACAGACCCAACTCCAGCAACCGTTCCTTCTATGTTTTAGCCTCCAGTCCCCGGATCATCTTTGTTGCTCTTCTCTGTACTCTTTCTAGAGTCTCAACATCTTTTTTACATCATGGTGACCAAAACTGGATGCAGTATTCCAAGTGTGGCCTTACCAAGGCCTTGTAAAGTGGTATTAATACTTCACGTGATCTTGATTCTATCCCTCTGTTAATGCAGCCCAGCACTGTGTTGGCTTTTTTTGGCAGCTGCTGCACACTGCTGGCTCATATTTAAGATTGTCCACTAGGACTCCCAGATCCAGCTCACAGTTATTACGGTACTATTGAGGCAGATACCTGTATCCGTTCCCCGTTCATCTGCCATAACCATAAACAGTATGGAGTCCTTGGTGCTCTCTGACTTTGCTTACTGTCTTGCTAGCATTGATGATGTTACCTAGTTGGGTAATGAAACGTCTGCAAGAAAACAGTCAATCTCAGAGAGCACCAAGGACCCTGTCAGTTCAACCCTGAACTACAAATATTCTCCTTTGTGGCATGAACAGTATAAAACAGCTGTTAGAGAGAAGCCAGTCAAATTCAAGTAAAAAAACAACAACCTGATGCTAAGAAACTTTCTAAGGCAATAAAATCAATAATTTTTCCCTCTGCAATTTTCCAACGTCCTATCCTGAACCTACAGAACTGGACAAAATGTGACTAAAATATATATAACTTATGTATTCCTCAAAAAAAAAATTAGTTTCAATTCCGCAGTCATTTCTAGTTGCTCTTTCAATTCAATTGAGATTAGAGCTGGAAGGGACCTTGGAGGTCTTCTAGTCCAGGGCTTTTCAACCAGTGGTACGGGTACCACTTGTGCTACATTGGCACCTGGCAGGTGGTACGCGACCATCCTAGAAAAGTGGTAGCGGGGGAGGGGAATGAGCTGAACCGGTGGCAGCACCGCACAAGCTTGAGCAAGAGATGGCTGGAGCTGCAGGGCTGTCAGGGCTCAGCGGAAGCGCCAGGATCAGCACTTCTTCGGGGCTGTCAGGGCTCAACGGAAGTGCCAGGATCAGCGCCAGGCTCCAGCTGGAAAGCAGCACTGATCCTGGCGCTTCTGCTGAGCCCAGAAGAAGCGCCGATCAGCTGGAATGTTGCAGCATCTCCAGGGTCTTGTGATTTACATTCAGATGCTTGGCAACTGATTCATATTGATGACGGTCACAGTGTCCCAGGGTCATGTGAAGTGACCAAAACCTGCTGCAATCACCCAGCAGACAAGGGGAATAAAGACCAAACACCCCCCCACCCCCACTGCCAATCCTCAACAGAAACGCTCACAACAATGAAAACCTCGGACAGGAGGAAGAGCGCCACCAGGTGGGCAGGCAGGTGTCTTGCTCAGCTGTGACTCAGGGGGTACTTTTTTCAGTGCCATTGTAACTTCGAACAGTCACTAAGCGAACTGTTGTAAGTCGAGGATTACCTGTACTTTATCACTTTTTGTGGGGGGGATCATCAAGTTTTTGACACCTTGCTAGGCGACTGGTGGTACTCAGATATTGCCATATCCTAAAAGTGGTACAATGGGTGAAAAGGTTGAAAAGCCCTGTTCTAGTCCAACCCCCTGCTCAAGTAGGAAATGATGATAAAGTTGGAAGGGATCTTGGAGGTCATCTAGTCCAGCCCCCTGCTCAGGCAGGAAACCCTATACCATTTCGGACAAATGGCTGTTCAGTCTCTTCTTAAAAACCTCCAGTGTTGGAGCACCCACAACTTCTGGAGGCAAGCTGTTCCACTGGTTAATTGTTCTCACCGTTAGGAAGTTTCTCCTGAGTTCTAGGTTGCTTCTCTCTTTGGTTAGTTTCCATCCGTTGTTTCTTGTCCTGCCTTCTGGTGGTTTGGAAAATAAGTTGACCTCCTCTTCTTTGTGGCAGCTCCTTACATATTGGAATACTGCTATCATGTCACCCTCTAGTCCTTCTTTTGTCTAGGCTAGCCATACCCAAATCCTGCAACCGTTCTTCTGTAGTTTGCAGGCCTTTAATCGTCTCAGTTGCTCTTCTCTGCATTTTTTCCAAAGTCTCAATGTCTTTTTTTTTTTCCTTCGCGCAATAGACAAATTGCACTGTATTTGGAAAAATTAGCAAGAGATGAATCCGACTTTCATCTCTTCAATCTGATTTTCACAAAAAAGCTAAACTTCCCAGAATCAGATCACTTACCTTCTCTGCAGCAGCCTAAAGATGAAAGGGTCAGATATTAGCTGATGCAAAAATCCTGTTAATAACACCAGTGTATTTATGGCTCCTATTATCTTTTTCAAACATTAATGAGGACCTCGGCTGTCTCCCATTTGAACAGCTCCATTAACATCTGCCATCTGCTAGCAAATACCTTCCTAGCCAGACACTATTAATTGCAAAAGCTGCACCCCTCAGTGCAAATGACTGTCATTTCCTTCATTTTCTTTTTTTAATTTTCACCACCGCTTGCCTCCCCTCCGAGGCGTGGAAACGGAAATTATCAGATCAAAGCACATGTGGGAATATCAAAGGGGGGGGGAATGGTTCCTTTCGGTGTTAGGATGAAAATGAGATGTTCATTTTCAGGAGAAAAGGGGTGTTTCCCCCCCCATCAATTAATACTTTCCTGGGAGTAAGGTGTGTGTGTGTAAGGAAGATTTCCCCCACTTGAGGGCCAGCCGGTGAATTATTTAGATGGTAGAACTTCCACTTTCTTTACTCACGTCCATCTTAGCCAGGGTTAGTTAGCTATTTACAGGTAGTCCTCAGTCCATCCAGTTTTGGTCACCACAATGTAAAAAAGATGTTGAGACTCTAGAAAGAGTACAGAGAAGAGCAACAAAGATGATTAGGGGACTGGAGGCCAAAACATACAAGGAATCGGGTATGTCTAGTTTAATGAAGAGAAGGACGAGGGGGGACATGATAGCAGTCTTCCAATATCTCAGGGGCTGCCCCAAAGAAGAGGGAGTCAAGCTATTCTCCAAAGCACCTGAAGGCAGAACAAGAAGCAACGGATGGAAATTAATCAAGGAGAGAAACAACCTAGAACTAAGGAGAAACTTCCTGACAGTGAGAACAATTAACCAGTAGAACAACCTGCTTCCAGAAGCTCTGAATGCTCCAACTGGAAGTCTTTAAGAAGAGACTGGACAACCATTTGTCTGAAATGGTATATAGGGTTTTCCTATCTGAGCAGGGGATTGGACTAGATGATCTCCAAGCTCCCTTGCAACTTTATTATTATTATTATTATTATTATTATTATTATTATTATTATTATTATTATTATTATTATTATTATTATTATTACTACTACTACTACTACTACTATTACTATTATTACTATTATTATTATTATTATTATTATTACAACTGAGCCCAGAATTTACGTTGCTGAGAAAATTGTTAAGTGAATTTTGCCCCATTTTGCCAACAGTTAAGTGAATCCCTGCAATTGTTAAGTTAGTAACATGGTTGTTAAGTGGATCTGGTTTCCCCCATTGACTCTGCTTGTCAGAAGGTCACAAGATGTGATCACATGACCCTGACACGCTGCAACCGTCATAAGTATGAGTCAGTTACCAAACGTCTGAATTTTGATCATGTGACCAGGGGGATGCCACAATGGTTGTAAGTGTGAAAAATGGACAAGTCACTCTTTTCAGTGCCATTGTAACTTTGAACGGTCACTAAATGAACTGTTGTAAGTCAGAGACTACCTGTATTTACTTATATCCTGTCTTTATTATTTTTTTTACAAGTAACTCAAGGCAGTGGGCAAAACTAATATCCCTTACTCTTCCTGATTTCCCTACAACAACCCTGTGAGGTGGGTTGGGCTGAGAGAGAATAACTGGCCCAAAGTCACCCAGCTGGCTTTCATGCCTAAGGCAGGAGTAGAACTCACTGTCTCCTGGTGATTGGCCCAAAGTCTCCCAGCCGTTTTCAACTCCAAGGTGGGACTAGAATTCAATGTCTCCTGGTGATTGACCAAAGTCACCGAGCCAGACCGGTCATAAGTGCGAGGACCAGGTTTTTTTTAAGAGCTGTTGTAACTTCAAACAGTCGCTAAACAAATAGTTGTATGTCTAAGACTACCTGTAAGGCAACCAGCATCAAGATGGGAAGGAATTTGCCCAACTCATTGTGATGTCCATTTTTTTTCTCTTCTGTTTTTTTTAAAAAAACCTATAGTTTATCAGGTTGCCCTCGTGCCAAGAAAAGTGGAATGAAAATCCCACCCACAAAGGATGACAAGGAGGATCCTGAACTGATGAAGTAAGTGAGGGGAAAATGTCTGAACCATTCACAAAGGTTATTTTATTCAGCATGTGCTACTTCAACTACCAATCTGGAGAAAAAGCTACATTCGTTTGCAATGGTGGGATTCAAATACCGGTTCTCTGCATGGACGCCACTTCCATTCTGAGCCGTGGAGGCCTCCCAGGTCCAGAACAGACTTCCGGAAATGGCATCCATGCACTTCCAGTGGGCTGTTCTGGGCCTGGAAGGCCTCCCCGGCTCAGAAGAGACTTCCGGAAGTGGCATCCACGCACTTCCAGTGGGCTGTTCTGGGCCTGGGAGGCCTCCCAGGCTCCAAACAGACTTCCGGAAGTGTCATCCACACACTTCCGGTGGGCCATTCTGAGTCTGGGAGGCCTTTTGGCTTGGCGGATCCCCCCCATCTGACCCACGTGCCAGTATACCGGTTCCTTACCGCTGCCTGGCTTGTTTCACAGCCTCATGGCAGCGGTATTGGGCGTGACACGCGAGGTGGCAAACGGCCGCGGTCAGCGGCAAACAGCCGCGGTTGGCCAAAACCGGCCGTGGAAAAAGCCAGGCAGCGGTAAGGAACTGGTATATCATTGGCTAGCAGGGCACGTGGGTCAGATCACCCCCACCCCCACCGGCTTTGCCTCATCACACACTGGCAGCTCCTCCCCCCCCTTACCTTGTGTCTATGGTGGAAACCAGACAGAATCGGCAGCCGGCCATCTGCGCAGGCTCTTAAGTAGGGCTTACTTTCGGGGGGAGGGCTTATATTAGAGCCACCCCCGAAAATCAGCTGGGGCTTAATTTGTGGGGAGGGCTTACTTTTAGGGAAATACAGTGTACTAGGATTAGTGGATGAGGGAATGAAATAATGTTGAATTAAGAGATCCAATCTTGGTCAGTCACCGGGACCAGAGAATTTGTCTTCCTCTCCAGGGTAGAGAGAAGGTCCCTGAGGATGGGATCCAGCACGAGTCCAAGAGCTCGGAAGACAAAAACCCCAATCCCAGTGACCGACCCAAATTGGATCCTGCAACATTATTCTGGGACACATAGATTCGCCTTCATTCGTGAAGTGAGAGTGTCTGTCTCTCACCTTTATTTTCGCTTGGAAATAAAGTATTATCAGAGATACGGTCCTCCAGAAAACTGAGGTTGTTGGGGGACAAGTGACTCAAAATGTCACGGATAATAAAACGCACACTACGCAAATGTCACGCAAGTTAATATGCACGCTTATACGAAAAGACCTCTCCTGTTTTTGGACCTTTAAACCTGAGAGTCACGCCATTAACCCATTTCAGGGGGGTAAACGCAATAAAATTTGAGCCCCACACCAACCATCCCGCGGCTACCTAACACTCTTAAGACGGAACAAAACCAAGTGAACACTTAGCAAGCTTAACATTATTGCACAAATATCAACTGCGAGAATTTCTACTGACCCGATTCAGCATGTTGTGCGAATCCAATCTATATTTGGTTATAAAAAAGCGAGCGAATCTAATAAAAGGTTTAATTTTCAGCCTGGGCCACGTTCGCACGTAGACACTTTTTCACAATACAAAAATTGCATTGCATCAGATTAACATATGGATTTCGTGTGAGCGTTTTTGCTTCTTGAAAAAAAATAACCATGGTCTGTTGCATATTTCTGAAAACCGCCTTTCTCCTTGTTGGTTGCCTCTGCAGGTAATATAATACGGGTAGTCCTCAACTTACGACCACAACTGAGCCCAACATTTCTGTTGCTAAGCAAGGCGGTTGTTAAGTGAGGTTTTCCCCCATTTTGCCACCTTTTCCCCCCCATAGCTGTTAAGTGAATCAGTGCAGTTGTTAAATAAGTCTGTCGTCCCCCGTTGACTTTGCTTCTGGGAAATCGGCTGGGAAGTTCACAAACGGTGATCACATGACCTGGGGACATTGCTACCTGCCAGTTGTGCAGCGTCCGAATTTTCATTATATGACCACAGGGATGCTGCACCGGTCGTAAGTGTGAAAAACGGTCATAAGTCACTTTTTTCAGTGCTGTTGTAACTTCAAAAGGCCATTAAATAGATGGTTGAATTGTGGGGTCCTTGGTGCTCTCTGAGCTTGGTTGTTTTCTCGCAGACGTTTCATCACCAAACTAGGTGATATCATCAGTGCTAGAGGAGAGTGGGGAGAGGAAGAGGAGGGGAGGAGGAGGAGGAGGAGGAGGATGAGGAGGACGAGGACGAGGACGAGGACTGTGGGGTCCTTGGTGCTCTCTGAGCTTGGTTGTTTTCTTGCACACGTTTCATCACCCAAACTAGGTAACATCATCAGTGCTAGAGGAGAGTAGGGTTTGTGGAGAGAAGGAGGAGGATACTGTAGGGTCCTTGGTGGGTTGTTTTCTTGCAGATGTTTCATTACCAAATTAGGGAACATCATCAGTGGGAGGAGGAGGAGGAGGAAGATGAGGAGCTGTGAGGTCCTTGGTGCTCTCTGAGCTGGGTTATTTTCTTGCAGACGTTTCATGGCCCAACTAGATAACATCATCAGGAGGAGGAGGAGGAGGAGGAAGAAGAAGAAGAAGAGGAGGAGGAAGAGGAGGAGGAGGAGGTGGTGGTGGTGGTAGTGGTGGTGGAGGAGGAGGAGGAGGAGGAGGAGGAGGACTATGGGGACCTTGGTGCTCTCTGAGCTGGGTTATTTTCTTGCAAACGTTTCATGGCCCAACTAGATAACATCATCATCAGGAGGAGGAGGAGGAGGACTGTGGGGTCCTTGGTGCTCTCTGAGCTTGGTTGTTTCTTGGCAGACGTTTCATCACCCAAACTAGGTAACATCATCAGTGCTAGTCAGGAGTTGGGTTTGCTGTCAGTTTATACTCTGGTGTCTTGCCTTCCTGGGTGGGAGGGGGGCGGTCTTAGGGATTCTTCGGTTGGGCTGTTTACTAATGGCTCTTTGGCACTTTCTTGACTGGGGTATTGCTTGCCTGATGGTTGGTCTGAAGGTGACCTTGGAGCTAATCTAAAGCTTGGTCACCTTCAGACCAACAATCAAGTAAGCAACACTCCAGTCAAGAGACTGCCCAAGAGCCATTGGTAAACAGTCCAACTAAAGAATCCCTAAGATCCCTCCCTCCCTCCCACCCAGGCAGGGAAGACACTAGATAGAATATAAACCCACAGCAAACCACACTCCTTACTAGCACTGATGATGTTACCTAGTTAGGGTAATGAAACGTCTGCAGGAAAACAAGCAAGCTCAGAGAGCACCAAGGACCCCACAATCCTCCTCCTTCTCCTTCTCCTTCTCCCCCCCTCCTCCTCCCAAACACCCTCCCTTCTAGCACTGATGATGTTCCCTAGTTGGGTTATGAAACGTCTGCAAGAAAACAACCAAGCTCAGAGAGCACCAAGTATCCCACAGTCCTCCTCTTCCTCTTCCTTCCCCCCCCATGCCCCCCCACTCCCTTCCAACACTGATGATGTTACCTAATTAGGGTAATGAAATGCCTGCAAGAAAGCAACCAAGCTCAAAGAGCACCGAGGACCCCTCATTTCAACCCTGAGCTACAAATATTCTCCTTCATTGGTAGAGGGTTGCAGGTCAAGGACTACCTGTGTGTCAGGGCAGGTGAGATCACAGCATGTCCCTCTCCATCTCCCTGTTTCTCTTCTCTTCCTGCCTGTTTCCCCCCCCCCTCCTGCAGCAGGATACAATTTGAAAGAGGAAAAAAAATTACATTCCCCAGAGGTCTGAACTCCTGCAGGGAGAGGGTTTTTAAAATCTAAGAATTGCCCGTGCTGCCATGGTTCAACCACAAGGGTCAATTAATTACCTCCTAGCCATCTTCAGAATTGTCACACCTGGCATTTACATAACATTTGAAGCGGGTTCACCGTCCCTCATTATTTCAAGCCCTGCTACAGCACCACGCAGAATCCTACAGCTGTTGCAAGATTCTTTCTTAAACTATAAATGCTCTCGGTTTCTCTCCGTTTCCCCACGTTAACAAACTCTTCTGCTCAAATTTATTGCATGTTAGTGGTTGTTGCTAACACCAACTGCTGTTGTCTCCAATAGCATCTGAACTGGATCACAAGGAAAGGGGTCTTTTTTTTTTTTTTCAGGATCACAATCCTAATTGCACATCTCTATTTGAAGAACAATTTGACATCAGCTATATTACTTTTTCTGAATTACCAGTTGCCCCTTGACTTACAATAGTTTGTTTGGTGATCGTTCAAAGTTACAAGGCACCGTTTTAATGCCCATTTTTCACACTGACAACCGAGGCAGTATCCCCACGGTCACGCGATCGAAATTCGGACACTTGGCAACCGACTCATACTTACGACGGTTGCAGCTTGTCGGGGTCATGTGATCTCCTTTTGTGACCTTCTGATGAGCAAACTCAATGGGGAAGCCAGATTCACTTAACAACCGTGTTTCTAACTTAATGGCTGATCCCCTTAACGACGGTGGCAAGAAACATCGTCAAAGGGAGCAAAACCCTCTTAACAATTTTCTCGCTTAGCCACAAAAATCCTGGGATCAGTGGAAGTCATAAGTTGAGGATAACCATTATTTAGTTGGCCAGCCTTTGCTATCTGTTCCACTAAACCAGGGCTTTTCAACCAGTGGTCCGGGTACCACCTGTGGTACATTGGCACCTGACAGGTGGTATGCGAGCATCCTAGAAAAGTGGTAGTGGAATGAGCTGAACCGGTGGCAGCACCACACAAGCCTCAGCGAGAGATGGCTGGAGCTGCAGGGCTGTCAGGGCTCAGCAGAAGCGCCAGGATCAGTGCCGCTTTCCAGCTGATCGGCGCTTCTTCGGGGCTGTCAGGGCTCAGCGGAAGTGCCAGGATCGGTGCCAGGCTCCAGCTGGAGCTCAGCGCTGATCCTGGCGCTTCTGCTGAGCCCAGAAGAAGCGCCGATCAGCTGGAATGTTGCAGCATCTCCAGGGTCTTGTGATTTACATTCAGATGCTTGGCAACCGATTCATATTTATGACGGTCAGAGTGTCCCAGGGTCATGTGAAACCTGCTGCAACCACCCAGCAGACGGAGGGAATAAAAACCAAAACCTGCTGCAACCACCCAGCAGACGGAGGGAATAAAAACCAAACACCCCCCCACCCCACCCCACCCCCGCTGCCAATCCTCAACAGAAATGCTCACAACAATGAAAACCTCGGACAGGAGGAAGAGCGCCGCCAGGTGGGCAGGCAGGTGTCTTGCTCGGCTGTGACTCGGGGGGTACTTTTTTCAGTGCCATTGTAACTTCGAACAGTCACTAAGCGAACTGTTGTAAGTCAAGGACTACCTGTACTTTATCACATTTTTTGGGAGGGTCATCAAGTTTTTGACACCTTGGTAGGCGACTGGTGGTACTCGGATACTGCCATATCCTAAAAGTGGTACAATGGGTGAAAAGGTCGAAAAGCCCTGCTCTACCATCTTCTGGAGTCCATTTAAGCTCACGCCTGCACTAAACAGCCAGAAAACATTTTGAAACTCTCTCCCACAATCTCATATAGACACCCTGTATGTAGATCTCAAGCCAGCTGTTGGCGCCAATAAGATGCTGGTTTGTTTTTTATAATACGAAGGCAATGAACGTTAAATTAGCAATGTAAAATATGTAACGGTGGTGCTGTTGAATTGTCGCCTTCGCCTTTCCGTCTCTCTTTCTCTCGAGATTTCCGTCAATTCCTTACGATCACATAAACAGCGAGGCTGTTATGAATGTAGTCAGCATCCTGCTTGCAGGGATATTATAGGTGATTTGCGCCACATTTGCGCGTGATTTAAAACAGGGCCAGGGTTTCCAAATTATCTCAGAGGGGGAATGAAATAGCCACGGTGGGCTTCTCCGTTGTTAACTCCTCTGCTTTCTTTTTTTCTAATGGAACAAAATTAAAATGCTGATGGCGATAACAATGAAACACAGAATAATGAAACTCAAGCCAAACCACAGTATATATGTTGACAATTGCCTTTGAGATTCCTAACGGTTTCGCTGCATAAAGGGGTAGCTCAACTTCTATTCCACCAGATATATTTTATTGGTTAAATTATATTTATTCTCACCCGTCTCGCCGTGGGGCTAGTCTAGGAGGCTTACGACAATAAAAAGGGAGAAATGAAAATAACGGCAAACATTAACAGCAGCAAAATAGTGGAACAATGTTATAAACAGTGACAAAGAAAACAATGAGAGTAGAGCGATATGAGAATGAAAGATGGGTGGGTATGGAAACTGGGAGTGAGGGGGAAGATGAGGTTTGCTGTCAGCCTAGTTGCCACCTCCAGGGTGGTAGTGACCCCCCCCCCCAAAAAAGATTCCCTTTTCTGGGGTCCTTGGTGCTCTCTGAGCTTGATGGTTTTCTTGCAGACGTTTCATTACCAAACTAGGTAGCATCAGTGCTAGAAAGGAATGGGGTTTGAGGGAGAAAGGGGGGAGGAGGAGGAGGAGGAGAACAATGACTGTGCAGATGTTTCATTACCAAACTAGGTAACAGCATCAGTGCTAGAAGGGAGTAGGGGGTGCAGAGTAGAGGAGGTGGAGGGGGGAGACTGTGGGGTCCTTGGTGCTCTCTGAGCTTGATTGTTTTCTTGCAGACGTTTCATTACCCATCTAGGTAATATCATCAGTGCACCGATGATGTTACTGTCATGGTTCCGACAGATGAAACTCTTCAAAAGAACTTCGAGGCATTGTTTACCTTAAAGAATCTTTATTTTGAGTAGCATAACATCGGCACTAACATAGTTGAAGCCAAAAAATGGATTCCCCTCCCCTGAGCACATAGTATCAAAGCACAATTCCCTCCTTCAATTGACGGTCATAAATCACATTCCCCAATTAGCTTGAAGCACGGGCTTCCTATCCAGTTCTCTAGCCCGCCAATTCCTTATCAGTTCTGGTTACAATAACCTTGTTTCTCATGCTAGATTTAGTGTTGTTGTTTCTAGCTGGACTCTCGGTCACATCCCCCCCTCCCAGCATCATCTAATTCTAAAAGCAAAAGGTAAAAGTTGGCTACATTTCCATCTGTTATCAATGCAAAAACATCCGATGTTAGCAGCATTGACAGTTACCTAATTTGGTAATAAAACATCTGCAAAAAAACCCACCAAACACAGAGAGCACCAAGGACCCCACAGTCCTCCTCCTCCTCCTCCTCCTCCTCCCCCTCCCCCTCCTCCTTCTGCTGAGCTGATCACAATTCAACACCTGAGCTCCAAATATTCCCTTTTATACATTCCCTTTTTTTTTTTAACAGCACCCCCCTGTAGCAAACACTGATGTATGCTTTTGAATGACAGTGTATTACAGTGATATTAACAACTGGTCCTTGGGAACGATTCCACAGGTGGATACAGGTAGTCCTCGAGTTACGACTGCAGGGATTCACTACACAGCTGTGGCAAGACAGGTCGCAAAATGGAGGAAAATTTCACTTGACCAACGTTTCGCTTAGCAACAGAAACGTTGGGCTCAAGCAGGGTCGTAAGCCGTGGTGGGATTTAAATGTGTCAGGGGGCCTTCAAACTTGGCCCTTTTATGACTTGTGGACTTCAACTCCCAGAATTCCTCAGCCAGGCATGTTGGCTGAGGAATTCTGGGAGTTGAAGTCCACAAGTCCTGAAGGGGCCTTAGTTCCTCCATGCTGGCTGAGGAATTCTGGGAGTTGAAGTCCACAAGTCCTGAAGGGGCCTTAGTTCCCCCATGTTGGCTGAGGAATTCTGGGAGTTGAAGTCCACAAGTCATGAAGGGGCCACAGTTCCCCCATGCTGGCTGAGGAATTCTGGGAGTTGAAGTCCAGAAAGTCACAAAAGGGCCAAGTTTGAAGACCGCTGAAATATGTGAACAAACGTTTCTCTGTGTGGAAGCCGCTTCCATTCTGGGCCTGGGCAACAAAAAAATAGCTACCGGTTCTGCCGAAGTAGTGCAAACCGGCTGAATCCCACCACCGGTCGTAAGTCGGGGACTCACGCCTCTGAGCGAATCAGATTCCGTAAGACGGGAAGGGGAGAGGTCGGGTTCCTATTCTCAGTTGTCATTCCTTAAGACCTTTTTGTACTTCTCTAGGTGCCCTGTTCCTGGGTGTGTTGGACTCGGACACATCAGTGGCAAATACGCCTCCCATCGCAGTGCCTCAGGCTGTCCCCTTGCAGCCCGGAGGCAGAAGGAAGGTTCCCTCAACGGCTCCTCCTTTTCATGGAAGTCGCTCAAGAATGAGGGTCCCACTTGCCCAACTCCTGGCTGCGATGGTTCAGGCCACGCCAATGGAAGCTTCCTCACTCACAGAAGGTAAATTTCAAGCATCCAGCGTGACACAATAACAAGAACAATAAGAGTTGGAAGGGAGCTTGGAGGTCATCTAGTCCAACCCCCTGCTCAGGCAGGAAACCCTATTTCAGACAGATGGTTGTCCAGTCTCTTTTTGAACACTTCCAGTGTTGGAGCATCCATAATTTCTGAGGGGAAAGTCATTCCCCTGATTAATTGTTCACACAAGAAATTTCTCCTCAGTTCCAGGTTGCTTCTCTCCTTCATTCGTTTCCATCCGTTGCTTCTTGTCCTGACTTCAGGTGCTTTGGAGAATTGGTTGACCCCCTCTTTTGGGGGGCAGCCCCTCAAATATTGGAAGGCTGCTATCATGTCCCCCCTCATCCTTCTCTTCGTTAAACTAGACATACCCAATTCCAGCAACCGTTCCTTATATGCTTTAGCCTCCAGTCCCCTGATCATCTTTGTTGCTCTTCTCTGTACTCTTTCTAGAGTCTCAACATCTTTTTTACATCGTGGTGATCAAAACTGGATGCCGTATTCCAGGTGTGGCCTTACCAAGTCGTTGTAAAGTGGTATTAACACTTCACGTGATCTTGATCCTCAAATATTGTTTTTGATTTCCAGTAGCTTTCATGTCCACGTCACAATATCCTTATTACTGTGAGATGTCTTCGTCACCAGCCTCCACGAGCACTCTAAATAACTTTTTTTTTGTAATATATTCAGTCTTTCAGCCTCATACGTGCTCTCCAAGCCCCTATAAAGATTAAATTCTACAAAGATTAAATATCCCTGTTTTATGCCCATTTTTATGACAGGTGCTCCTCAGCTTACAACCACAGCTGAGCCCTTACCTTAATTTCCGTGGCTAAGCGAGACAGTTCTGGAGTGAGTTTTGCCCCCATTTTACGACCTTTCTTGCCACTGTTGTTAACTGAATCATTACGGTTCTTAAGTTAGTAACACGGTTGTTAAGTGAATCTGGTTTCCCCATTGACTTGGCTTGTCCGAAGGTCATAAAAGGGGATCCTGTGACTCCTGGGGACACTGCAGCCATCATAACTACCAGCCAGTTGCCAAACCAAGTCTGAATTTTGATCACATGACCATGGGGATCCTGCAGTAGTCGTAAGTGTTGCTCTTTTTTCAGAGAAGAGCAACAAAAATGATCAGGGGAGGCTAAAGCATATAAGGAACGGTTGCTGGAATTGGGTCTGTCTAGTTTAATGAAGAGAAGGACGAGGGGGGACATGATAGCAGTGCTCCAATATCTCAGGGGCTGCCCCAAAGAAGAGGTAGTCAAGCTATTCTCCAAAGCACCGGAAGGCAGGACAAGAAGCAACGGATGGAAACTCACCAAGAAGAGAAGCAACCTAGAACTAAGGAGAAACTTCCTGACAGTTAGAACAATTAACCAGTGGAACAACCTGCCTCCAGAAGTTGTGGATGTTTCAACACTGGAAGTTTTTAAGAAGAGATTGGACAGCCATTTGTCTGTAATGGTATATGGTTTCCTGCCTGAGCGGGGGGTTGGACTAGATGACCTACAAGGTCCCTTCCAAGTCTGTTATTCGATTCTGTTTTGTTCTGTTCTGTTCCTTCCATTCCATTCTTATTCCCGTTCCCATTCCATTCCATTCTATTCTATTCTATTCTATTCCTATTCCCATTCCCATTCCCATTCCCATTCCCATTCCCATTCCCATTCCCATTCCATTCTATTCTATTCTATTCTATTCTACTCTATTCTACTCTACTCTACTCTACTTCTATTCTGTTCTGTTCTGTTCTGTTCTGTTCTACTCCTATTCTATTCTATTCTATTCTATTCTATTCTATTCTATTCTATTAACTTTGAATGTACAAATAACTGTTATACATCGAGGATATCTGTATGGCGAATGCTGGTTAGAATTCTCCTTAATAATGGTATCTTGTGGAATGCTCAAATCTAAGTCCTAAGCAGTACAGTACAATTTTCTTTAGTGACCAACCTTTCCTTTAGTGACCATTTGAAGTTACATTGGCACTGAAAAAGAGTGATTTACATCAGGTCCTTGTCCTAATGTCTGTCGCAGCATCCTCATAGTCATGTGATCAGATTTCAGAGGCTCGGCCACTGACGTGTTCTTACGACAGTTGCAGCATCCCACATGATTGCATTTGTGATCTTCCCAGCCAGCTTCTGACAAGCAACATCAATGGAAAAATCCATATTTGCTTATTGACCCTAAGATTCAGTTAACAAGTGGAATGATTTGCTTAACAAAGGTGGCAAAAAAGGTTGTAAAGTCGGAGCATGACTCACTTAAGCCCCCGTCTTGCTTAGCAATGGAAATGTTGGTCCCAGCTATGACTGTAAGTCGAGGACTATCTTAACAATGTAATATAGCAAGTTCCAGAAATCCAAATTTGGGAGACATCAAGCATTCCCTTCCATTAAAAACTTCATTTTAGGGCCAAGTCGTATGACTGTATCTTTTTATGGGCAATCTGCAACCGAGTTCCTCTGATATATAAATTCTTACCCAAATGCAAGGCTGTTCATGTCATAATGAATTTCTAATGGATGTATAAAAAAAATACTGCTTATAAACCTGAGGGGAAATATGCCACTGAGAAACAAATTTACCACAAACATAAAATAGATGTTTTCTTTTTCTAATTTTCCTCTGCCTGACAAAGGAGAAAAATAATAAAAAAGCAGAAATTAGAAAAATCAATCCTTCTCCTCTCAAAGAAGTCAAAAATATTTTGTTTGAAAGTGAATGTAACATCAGTCAAACACATTTTCTTCAAGTACAGAGAAAAGCAACAAAAATGATCAGGGGACTGGAGGCTAAAACATACAAAGAACGGTTGCTGGAATTGGGTATGTCTAGTCTAATGAAGAGAAGGACGAGGGGGGACATGATAGCAGTATTCCAATATCTCAGGGGCTGCCCCAAAGAAGAGGGAGTCAAGCTATTCTCCAAAGCCCCTGAAGGCAGGACAAGAAGCAACGGATGGAAATTAATCAAGGAGAGAAGCAACCTAGAACTAAGGAGAAACTTCTTGACAGTGAGAACAATTAACCAGTGCCCCAAAGAAGAGGGAGTCAAGCTATTCTCCAAAGCGCCTGAAGGCAGGACAAGAAGCAATGGATGGAAACTAACCAAGGAGAGAAGCAACCTAGAACTAAGGAGAAACTTCCTGACAGTTAGAACAATTAATCAGCGGAACAACTTGCCTCTAGAAGTTGTGGGTGCTCCAACACTGCAGGTTTTTCAGAAGAGATTGGACCACAATTTATCTGAAATGGTATAGGCTCTCCTGCTTGAGCAGGGGGTTGGACTAGAAGACCTCTAAGGTTCCTTCCAACTCTGTTATTCTCTTAAGTTTCCAAACTCTTCAGTGATCTTCTATTTTCAAAATCAGAACTGAAACATTTGCTAGAGTGAATCCTTTCCAAGAAAACAATTCTCAGAATAGCATCTGCTTAGCATGTGCGTGCCGCAAACAGGGCGGGGCTAGCACCCGCATGATACTCACTAGCCCTGCCCCATTCTTGCATGGCACGGCGGCTGTTTTTGCACCCCGCGGTACCGCAGCGGCCATTTATGCACCTTGTAGCATGACAGCGACCTGTGTTTGTGCCCCATGCCACGGTGGTGTCCCATTTTTGCACCCCAAGGCGCAGCAGCAGCCTGTTTTTGCACCCCGTGGTGCGGCATCCTGTTTTAGCACCCCACAGCTATGGTGCTAATGCAAGTGAGGGGGTGTGCATGTACATGCGCGCACACTGGCCAGCCTGTCCCACGGCGCGGTGGCCAGCAGGCCACGGCCCACTACTGGGCCACGGGCCACAGGTTGCGGACCCCTGCTTTACAGCACTCTCGGGGCAGTTTACAATGTAAGCACCGTTTGCGTATTGCCTCCAACAATGTGACTCCTCATTTTACTGACCTCAGGATGATGGAAGGCTGAGTCAACCTCGAGCCCTATCGGGATCGAACTTCAGGCTGTGGGCAGAGTTTCCCTGCAATAGTGCATTCCAGCCACTGCGCCTCCAGGGCTCTTTAAAGAACCCTTTACTAGAACAGCGATCCAAGTGTACGCTCCCGTCAACCAAGCAGAAGACAAGGAGATTGGCTAGTTTTATGGTAACCTTTAATCTGAAATTGACGGGACAGGCAAGCAAAATATACTGCTTATGGCTGGAGGCTGAAATGTCATCATAGTAATTGGTATGGAAGGAAACATTGGCTTGTACAGCCCATGCAACAAAAATAAAATGAGAGAGCAGCTTATCAGATACTTCCAGTCTGATGATTCATCCGTTGCTCGTGCATTCTTCAAACGTTCAAAAAAAGTGCCTGCGTGCATGACCATCATTGGACAGAGCACACAGTGATTAAATCGATTACTGGTACAAGAACATTGTAGTGCCAGACAGTATAATATTTTCTCTGTGACTGCTGTTGTGTGTGATACAGGTAGAGCTGACGTAAAACCATTTCTTTGGCAGCCAGCTGTTCAAAGCTATAACAGCACTGAAAAGAAGTGATTTACAGCAGGTCCTCGCACTTACAACTGTCGCTACATCCCACGGTAACATGATCAAAATTTGGGCATTTGGCAAGCGGCACGTGTCCTGGGGTCACGTGATCACCGTCTGCATCCTTCCCAGCCAGCTTCTGACAAGCAAAGTCAGATTTGATGAATGACTGTGTGATTCGCTTAACAACCAGGGTAAAAAGGTTGCAACTTACTTAACGACTTCCTGGGTCAGCCACAGACAGTCTGGTCATAAGTTGAGGATTATCTGTATAGCACAATCGAAAGCTATCTAATTTATACTTGGCTTCAACAATTAGCAATATTTTAGGATTTGAAACTGACTGCTTGTCCATTCCTAACATTTCCTGACTCAATCTACCCGATTAACAATCATGTAACGAATTCACCGAGCTATGCCAGATTTAATATTAATGGATGTCGATAACAGAGGTCTTCGGGGTTATTGTAAGGAATAAGATTTAATTACCCACATTAATGTGGCTTTTATATTTCTACCTGCAGTTTTCATATTTTCTGTTTTATTTGTTGTGTGCCCAGAATCACGGGAGGGAAGGAGAGAGGGAGGGAGGAAATGGGAGAGAGGGAGGAAGGAAGGAAATGGGAGGGAGGGAGGGAAGAAGGAAGGAAATGGGACGGAAGGAGGGAGGGAGGAAGGAAGGAAGGAAGTGGGAAGGAGGGAGGGAGGGAGGAAA